TACCTACTTCAAGTAGTTTTGACCTATGTCAAATGTTTGGTTTTGCTGCTAATTTATAGTTCAAAGTTCATTCTATTGCTAGTTTACTATTAGTTACGTGACGTCTATTGTGCATCTGACAATCTGCCCTGCGTCTTGTGCCAAAATTAAAGGGCATGTCTGTAACTTTTTAGGAGCAACCAATTAAGTGCTGCATTTTTTAATTATTGAATTATAGACCCAATTTATAGCTGTTATATGATTATATATATTTGATTATAACCTATAAATAAGCTACAACAGAAATCTCCCTCCTCTGGACCCTGACTCTCTGACCGGAATCTTTCCGTATACTGTAGTCTCCTCAAACCAGCATATTTCCCTGGAGCCTCCACTTCACTAAGAGTGTGTTTTCCTTCATTCAGCTGTGATTTGCACTGATAGACAATGATTAATGCAGTTAATCATTCATCAAAAATTAAAGGAACTTGATCAAATTTACATTTATTTGTTTTTCACGCATAATATTGGTGTATTTGGCCCACTGGCAATTTTTGACTTTGGCCCTTGGAGGCAAAAGGTTTGGGCACCCCTGATGTAGAGCAACACAAATCACATGCGTGTGTTTGTCTTCATGGTCTCTGTCCGCTGGTTTGGCCAGACGCGAGAAAGAAAAAAACGATGTCCAGAATCACTGTAAAACCTGCTGCTCCTCCTGCTAATGTTTAGAAACAAGTGCTGTGTGTGTGTAGATGTAATCTAAAGCCAAGGGCCGCTAGAAAAATCATGTTTCAAATGTGTTTTCAATGGGAGACGCGTTGCTGCGTGCATAAAATTAGAAATCCATCCTAAATTAGGCTCAGCCTCGCGTCATACGTCTGTCATGCGCGCCTATACAGTGTAAATATCCCCATTGGTTTACATGTAAAAATGTTATGCGCATCTGCTGCGCGTATAACGCGTACGTGCTGTAACGCCTCCTGTGTAAATTAGCAGTGATGGAGCACACAGATACCCCTGGTCCAATGAGGTCGATCAAATACTGTCAGAGGTAAACTCACGAACAAGATTTTTGAACAATATACAGTGCAAAAAGAAGGCCAAGAATATTCAAGAGTTCAATAAACAACATTTAATTCTCTTTACAATTAAATATTTAAAAAACTCTCTGAGCTCCTATTCCATATATTGTCGCCATCTTTGAAGATGGGATCAGTGGAAATGATCCGTCTTTTCAAAGCCCAGTCTTTGTGTGTCCAATAAAGTGCTATATAAAACAGAAGCATTATTGTTATTATCATTATTATTATTAAGTCCACATGAGCTGAGCACATGTGTGGATGACACTAAAATGATTCATTCATATATTTAATTCATGATTAAATATATGATGTAGCTGTTTAGCTACAATCTGGTGCAGAACATATCTGTCTTTGAGCTCTATGTCTCTGTACATTGTCGCTTCCAAATAAAGACTAAACTAAACTAAATGTAACCCACTTCAAGGTATGTACACGTTGGACCTCTAGGTTCGTAGGAGCTGAGGATAGCAATAAACACCGCACACAAATAGTTAAATCAAATGTGACTTTTAGTTAAGAAAATTAAAATAGTGCACATACATTTTTAAACAAAATCTATGGGCCCAACTAAAAAATAAAATTGTATTTAGGAATAATGTTCTTTCCGGAATTTGTGTTCAATGTTCAAGTCAATATAGTCAGGGGAAATAGTCAAGTCAGGGAATGTAGGTACTCGTTGACTGTTGAAGACTCTTGTTGGTGTCCGTCAGTGGGACTGACACAATCCTACCACAGCATCTGCAGGAACGGTGGTAGGACTCAGAATTCTACTGGGAGGCTCGCCATCGATGATTCTATCCCTCAACCTCGTTGTACTCCAAGGCTGGGATCTCTCAGTATCACGACCTCACAAACAGACCTGACCTGTATTTACAAAACAGGTTTTATAGTACATTCTCTTTTTATGCAATTGCAATTAGGTTCTTAAAAAATAAAGTGTTGTACAACAAAAGTATCTTTCAAAAATAAAATCAAGTTACAGATGGGTAACTTAGTTACATGTAATTAAAAGTATTTAGTCAAAATATAACATTTTAACAAATCTGGATATCTCTATGAACTGAAACACCACATTTTACCAATGGAATTAACTTATTTATGGAAAATACACTCACTTGAATAGTATAATGTATAGACCATATATTATATCACTTGAACCCTTTTTAACATAGGAATTTTTTTAACTCAAATAAAATACATGAAATACATCGGTTTTAATAACAAAATAACAGCTTGTGTCCATTTAAATGACTTAAATGCATTTGGTAAAATAAAATAGCTTATTTATCGGACCCACAGTCACGTTCAGTGAGTGTGACTTGGTTTTTTTAGTGTAACACATTCATATTGCACTTATTTCAATGACACAGCGTGTAAAACCATGAATTCACAAATAAAATACCTTAAATGTCTCTTATGACTTCAAAATAAACTTAAAATGTGAAAAAGTAACGAAAGAAATACGCTAGCATGACCACAAAATGGCGTCTGTGCATATAAAAATCTATGGGAACAGGTGGATGCTAGCTTACCAAGTTTCACTTCGGGAGATTCAGGACAAATAAAAGTGCTTCCTCAACGGTTCTCCAACCTCTAAACGGAGTTATAACCACATTAGAACATTTACTTCACAATGAATACTTTTCAATTACATCCTGATTCGGTTTTCATACCTTACGATGTGTTTTTATCAACCAACATGCAAGAGGAGAAGTAGAGCAGTTAAGTCGAGTGAGCGCCATAAATCTAACTGCGTTTTTGCATACTACTTCCGGTTTTACGGCAAAATAAAACTTCCGGTTTTCAAAATAAAAATGTAAAATAAACTTTTCTACATAAATAATAATAAACCCTTTTAACCAGGCGGGTTACATAAATTTAAAACAATATACTATATATTTATCTAAGAATCTATTCTTCTTTTTTAGCACACCCCTAATAATGTCAGCATTATTGTGTGGCTGTCCTGGTCCGTTGCGTTTACACAGTAAACAATGAGCTATTCTTACAGGTTTTATATTTGTTTTAACTCACTGACTGCCAGGCATTTTCAGATTTGAGAAGTGCGTTCTGCCAGCAATTTCAGGTGATTTGACCCAACTTTGAAGTGCCACAGAATATTCATTTTTTAGATGATGTAAACACCAAGGGCACCAAATTAAAGATTAACCTCTCTGCTTTACTCTGAAAAAAACAGTTTGTTTCTACCGCTTACCGTTCTTGAGCTATTTGCCATAGAACAAAGCATACTTTCACCCACAACACCTGGTCTGAGCAAGAAAACAGAGAAAACGAGCTGTATGTAAACAGGAACATATCAAGCAGAAAAGACTTTTAGATGCATTTTTGCTGCTCTAGTGACAACTCAAAACATCTTCACACTTGTTCCATTACAAAAATTATAAAAACATGACTCTGAAATAATACTTTTGATGGCAAATTGTTGGCAATTTATTCACAGATAGAACATTTTACTCTCTTCTATACCATCAACCAAAACATCAAACAACAACACAAAGATCCATAAAACTATAGATGTATAAAATAGAATGACGCGTGTGAATTTGAGTGTGTGTGTGTGAATGTCAGTGTGCGAGTGAGTGTCTGTGTGCGTGAGTGAGTGTGTGTCTGTGTGCGCGTGAGTGAGTGAGTGCGTGTGTGTGTTCGTGTGAGTGTTCGTGAGTGTGTGTATGAGTGAGTTCATCTGCTTTTTCAGTCCTCCCAGTAGTTCAGCTTTGAGTTGTAGAGGTTGAAACACTGTGTGCAACGGAACACGACACGCTGTGTACCATTTGTAGTTCTCCCTCCGTGAAGAAGAGCTCCAGAAAGTCTGGATCAGATGAATCCAGCTCCAGAAAGTCTGGATCAGATGAATCCAGCTCCAGAAAGTCTGGATCAGATGAATCCAGCTTCGCAGCCTCTGTCCGCAGTCTCTGAGGTCCAGGAGCTCCTGTGAAGGGCAACTGACTCGTCTCCCACTCATCCTCCTGTCAGCCATCTTCCCCAGAGCTTCTGGGTGACGAACGTGCTGGAAAATGGATACACACAATAACTATATTATACAGTGAATTTGTTACAATAAATACAATACATAAAATACAATGAAGGCCTTCCTCCCACATTATTGACTGACTACTTTTGGACCAAACAAGTATACTATATTATTATTATTGAGTGGCTGCATAGACTATGCAGCCACTATATGCTCTCCTACTGTTTATTGAGTGGCTGCATAGACTATGCAGCCACTATATGCTCTCCTACTGTTTATTGAGTGGCTGCATAGACTATGCAGCCACTATATGCTCTCCTACTGTTTATTCTTCTTCTTCTTCTTCTTCTTCTTCTTCTTCTTCCACTTCCGCCAGATTTTGGCACTTTTCAACTCTTCAACGCTTTCACCAAATTCAACAAATTATACATCGTTACGACCGGCTTCACCGTCTCATTATTGCTATTACTTTTCACACTTCCACCTTTAGCACTTTTTCAGCTATTAACAAAAGTTCAAGCACTTTTTCCCATTGACTTACATTGGACCAGTACAACAGATTACTCCCCATACAACACATTACCACACTAACAATTCATTACCACAGATAAAATACATTGCAACATCTTACAACACTTATAGCACCTTACAACACATTCAGCACTTTACAACAAATTCAACACCTTACAACACATTTAGCACTTTACAACACATTCAACACCTTACAACACATTCAGCACTTTACAACAAATTCAACACCTTACAACACATTTAGCACTTTACAACACATTCAACATTTTACAACACATTTAGCACTTTACAACACATTTAGCACTTTACAACACATTCAACACCTTACAACACATTCAGCACTTTACAACAAATTCAACACATTACAACACATTCAGCACCTTACAACACTTTCAGCGCCTTACAACACATTTTTCTTACTTCATCTTCTTCCCCTTCTTCCTCTTCTTCCCCTTCCTCCTCTTCTTCCTCTTCTTCCTGTTCTTCCCCTTCTTCCTCTTCTTCCCCTTCTTCCTCTTCTTCCTCTTCTTCCCCTTCTTTCTCTTCTTCCTCTTCTTCCTCTTCTTCCCCTTCTTCCCCTTCTTCCTCTTCTTCCCCTTCTTCCCCTTTTTCCTGTTCTTCCTGTTCTTCCACTTCTTTCTGTTCTTCCCCTTCTTCCCCTTCTTCCTCTTCTTCCACTTCTTCCCCTTCTTCCTCTTCTTCCTCTTTTTCCTCTTTTTCCTCTTTTTCCTCTTTTTCCTCTTCTTCCCCTTCTTTCTCTTCTTCCTCTTCTTCCCTTCTTCCTCTTCTTCCCCTTCTTCCCCTTCTTCCTCTTCTTCCTCTTCTTCCCTTCTTCCTCTTCTTTCCCTTCTTTCCCTTCTTCCTCTTCTTCCTCTTCTTCCCTTCTTCCTCTTCTTCCCCTTCTTCCTCTTCTTCCTCTTCTTCCTCTTCTTCCTGTTCTTCCTGTTCCTCCCCTTATTCCTCTTCTTCCCCTTCTTCCTCTTCTTCTTCTTTCTTCTTCTTTCCTCTTCTTCACTTTTTTTCTTCTTCCTTCTTCCCCTTCCTCTTCCTTCTTCATCCCTAACCCTTCCAACATCTATGCAGCCACTCACAATGGCTTCAGCCATTGTACCATTTCTAGTTCTTCTTCTTCTTCCACTTCCGCCAGATTTTGTCACTTTTCAACTCTTCAACGCTTTCACCAAATTCAACAAATTATACATCGTTACGACCGGCTTCACCGTCTCATTATTGCTATTACTTTTCACACTTCCACCTTTAGCACTTTTTCAGATATTAACACAAGTTCAAGCACTTTTTCCCATAGACTTACATTGGACCAGTACAACAGATTACTCCCCTTACAACACATTACCACAATAACAATTCATTACCAGAGATACAATACATTACAACATCTTACAACACTTACAGCACCTTACAACACATTTAGCACTTTAACACATATTCAACACCTTACAACACATTTAACACTAACAGAAATTCAACACCTTACAACACATTTATCACTTTAACGCAAATTCAACACCTTACAACACATTTAGCACTTTACAACAAATTCAACACCTTACAACACATTTAGCACCTTACAACAAATTCAACACCTTACAACACATTTAGCACTTTACAACAAATTCAACACCTTACAACACATTTAGCACTTTAACACAAATTCAACATCTTACAACACATTTAGCACTTTAACACAAATTCAACACCTTACAACACATTTAGCACTTTAACACAAATTCAACACCTTACAACACATTTAGCACTTTACAACAAATTCAACACCTTACAACACATTTAGCACTTTACAACAAATTCAACACCTTACAACACATTTAGCACTTTACAACACATTCAACACCTTACAACACATTTAGCACTTTACAACACATTCAACACCTTACAACACATTTAGCACCTTACAACAAATTCAACACCTTACAACACATTTAGCACTTTAACACATATTCAACACCTTACAACACATTTAGCACTTTACAACAAATTCAACACTTTACAACACATTCAACACCTTACAACACATTTAGCACCTTACAACAAATTCAACACCTTACAACACATTTAGCACTTTACAACAAATTCAACACCTTACAACACATTTAGCACTTTAACACAAATTCAACACTTTACAACACATTCAACACCTTTACAACACATTTAGCACCTTACAACAAATTCAACACCTTACAACACATTTAGCACTTTACAACAAATTCAACACCTTACAACACATTTAGCACTTTAACACAAATTCAACACCTTACAACACATTTAGCACTTTAACACAATTTCAACACCTTACAACACATTTAGCACTTTAACACAAATTCAACACCTTACAACATCTTACAACACTTACAGCACCTTACAACACATTTAGCACTTTACAACACATTCAACACCTTACAACACATTTAGCACTTTACAACACATTCAACACCTTACAACACATTTAGCACTTTAACACATATTCAACACCTTACAACACATTTAACACACTTAACAGAAATTCAACACCTTACAACACATTTATCACTTTAACGCAAATTCAACACCTTACAACACATTTAGCACTTTACAACAAATTCAACACCTTACAACACATTTAGCACCTTACAACAAATTCAACACCTTACAACACATTTAGCACTTTACAACAAATTCAACACCTTACAACACATTTAGCACTTTAACACAAATTCAACACCTTACAACACATTTAGCACTTTAACACAAATTCAACACCTTACAACACATTTAGCACTTTACAACAAATTCAACACCTTACATCACATTTAGCACTTTACAACAAATTCAACACCTTACAACACATTTAGCACTTTACAACACATTCAACACCTTACAACACATTTAGCACTTTACAACACATTCAACACCTTACAACACATTTAGCACCTTACAACAAATTCAACACCTTACAACACATTTAGCACTTTAACACATATTCAACACCTTACAACACATTTAGCACTTTACAACAAATTCAACACTTTACAACACATTCAACACCTTACAACACATTTAGCACCTTACAACAAATTCAACACCTTACAACACATTTAGCACTTTACAACAAATTCAACACCTTACAGCACATTTAGCACTTTAACACAAATTCAACACTTTACAACACATTCAACACCTTTACAACACATTTAGCACCTTACAACAAATTCAACACCTTACAACACATTTAGCACTTTACAACAAATTCAACACCTTACAACACATTTAGCACTTTAACACAAATTCAACATCTTACAACACATTTAGCACTTTAACACAATTTCAACACCTTACAACACATTTAGCACTTTAACACAATTTCAACACCTTACAACACATTTAGCACTTTACAACAAATTCAACACCTTACAACACATTTAGCACTTTACAACAAATTCAACACCTTACAACACATTTAGCACTTTACAACACATTCAACACCTTACAACACATTTAGCACCTTACAACAAATTCAACACCTTACAACACATTTAGCACTTTACAACATATTCAACACCTTACAACACATTTAGCACTTTACAACAAATTCAACACTTTACAACACATTCAACACTTTCAGCCCTTTACAACACATTCTTCTAATTTCATCTTCTTCACTTCTTCCCCTTCTTCCTCTTCTTCCTCTTCTTCCCCTTCTTCCCCTTCTTCCCCTTCATCCTCTTCTTCCCCTTCTTCCTCTTCTTCCCCTTCTTCCTCTTCTTCCCCTTCTTCCCCTTCTTCCCCTTCTTCCCCTCCTCTTCTTCCCCTTCTTCCTCTTCTTCCCCTTCTTCCCCTTCTTCCCCTTCTTCCCCTTCTTCCTCTTCTTCCCCTTCTTCCCCTTCATCCTCTTCTTCCCCTTCTTCCTCTTCTTCCCCTTCTTCCTCTTCTTCCCCTTCTTCCTCTTCTTCCCCTTCTTCCCCTTCTTCCTCTTCTTCCCCTTCTTCCCCTTCTTCCCCTTATTCCCCTTCATCCTCTTCTTCCCCTTCTTCCTCTTCTTCCCCTTCTTCCTCTTCTTCCCCTCATCCCCTTCTTCCCCTTCTTCTTCTTTCCTCTTCTTCCCTTTTCTATCTTCTTCTTCCTTCTTCTTCCCCTTCCTCTTCCTTCTTCACCCATAACCCTTCCAACATCTATGCAGCCACTCACAATGGCTTCAGCCATTGTACCATTTCTAGTTGAGTGGCTGCATAGACTATGCAGCCACTATATGCTCTCCTACTGTTTATTCTTCTTCTTCTTCTTCTTCCACCGCCAGATTTTGGCACTTTTCAACTCTTCAACGCTTTCACCAAATTCAACAAATTATACATCGTTACGACCGGCTTCACCGTCTCATTATTGCTATTACTTTTCACACTTCCACATTTAGCACTTTTTCAGATATTAACAAAAGTTCAAGCACTTTTTCCCATAGACTTACATTGGACCAGTACAACAGATTACTCCCCATACAACACATAACCAAACTAACAATTCATCACCACAGATACAATACATTACAACATCTTACAACACATTTAGCACTTTACAACAAATTCAACACCTTACAACACATTTAGCACTTTACAACAAATTCAACACCTTACAACACATTTAGCACTTTACAACAAATTCAACACCTTACAACACATTCAGCACCTTACAACAAATTCAACACCTTACAACAAATTCAACACCTTACAACACATTTAGCACCTTACAACACATTCAACATCTTACAACACATTTAGCACTTTACAACACATTCAACACCTTACAACACATTTAGCACTTTAACAAAAATTCAACACATTTAGCACTTTACAACAAATTCAACACCTTACTACACATTCAGCACCTTACAACAAATTCAACACCTTACAACACATTTAGCACTTTACAACAAATTCAACACCTTACAACACATTTAGCACTTTAACACAAATTCAACACCTTACAACACATTTAGCACTTTAACACAAATTCAACACCTTACAACACATTTAGCACTTTACAACAAATTCAACACCTTACAACACATTTAGCACCTTACAACAAATTCAACACCTTACAACACATTTAGCACTTTACAACACATTCAACACCTTACAACACATTTAGCACTTTACAACAAATTCAACACCTTACAACTTAGAGCACCTTACAACACATTTAGCACTTTACAACAAATTCAACACCTTACAACACATTTAGCACCTTACAACAAATTAAACACCTTACAACACATTTAGCACTTTACAACAAATTCAACACCTTACAACAAATTCAACACCTTACAACACATTTAGCACTTTACAACACATTCAACACCTTACAACACATTTAGCACTTTACAACACATTCAACACCTTACAACACATTTAGCACTTTACAACACTTTTTGCACCTTACAACACATTCAGCCCCTTACAACACATTCTTCTGACCTCATCTTCTTCACTTCTTCCTCTTCTTCCCCTTCTTCACCTTCTTTATCTTCTTCCTCTTCTTCCCCTTCTTCCTCTTTTTCCCCTTTTTGAGTGGCTGCATAGACTATGCAGCCACTATATGCTCTCCTACTGTTTATTCTTCTTCCACTTCCGCCAGATTTTGGCACTTTTCAACTCTTCAACGCTTTCACCAAATTCAACAAATTATACATCGTTACGACCGGCTTCACCGTCTCATTATTGCTATTACTTTTCACACTTCCACCTTTAGCACTTTTTCAGATATTAACAAAAGTTCAAGCACTTTTTCCCATTGACTTACATTGGACCAGTACAACAGATTACTCCCCATACAACACATTACCACACTAACAATTCATTACCACAGATACAATACATTGCAACATCTTACAACACTTACAGCACCTGACAACACTTACAGCACTTTACAGCACTTTACAACACATTTATCACTTTACAACACATTCAGCACTTTACAACACATTCAGCCCCTTACATCACATTCTTAATTCATCTTCTTCACTTCTTCCCCTTCTTCCTCTTCTTCCCCTTCTTCCTCTTCTTCCTCTTCTTCCCCTTCTTCCTCTTCTTCCCCTTTTTCCTCTTCTTCACCTTCTTCTTCTTCCCCTTCTTCCTCCTTCTTCCCCTTCCTCTTCCTCCCTCCTCCTTCTACCTCCTCCTCTTCCTTCTTCTTCTTTCCCCTTCTTCCCTTTTCTTTCTTCTTCTTCCTACATCTTTCATTTCTTTCAACTTCTTCCTTCTTCCTTCTTCATCCCTAACCCTTCCAACATCTATGCAGCCACTCACAATGGCTTCAGCCATTGTACCATTTCTAGTTCTTCTTCTTCCACTTCCGCCAGATTTTGGCACTTTTCAACTCTTCAACGCTTTCACCAAATTCAACAAATTATACATCGTTACGACCGGCTTCACCGTCTCATTATTGCTATTACTTTTCACACTTCCACCTTTTGCACTTTTTCAGATATTAACAAAAGTTCAAGCACTTTTTCCCATTGACTTACATTGGACCAGTACAACCGATTACTCCCCATACAACACATTACCACACTAACAATTCATTACCACAGATACAATACATTACAACATCTTACAACACTTACAGCACCTTACAACACTTACAGCACTTTACAACACATTCAGCACTTTACAACACCTTACAACACTTTTTGCACCTTACAACACATTCAACACCTTACAACACTTTTTGCACCTTAAAACACATTCAGCCCCTTACAACACATTCTTCTAATTTCATCCTCTTCACTTCTTCCCCTTCTTCCCCGTTCTTCCTCTTCTTCCCCTTCTTCCTCTTCTTCCCCTTCTTCCTCTTCTTCCCCTTCATCCTCTTCTTCCCCTTCTTCCTCTTCTTCCTCTTCTTCCCCTTCTTCCCCTTCTTCCTCTTCTTCTTCCCCTTCTTCCTCTTCTGCTTCTTCTTCCCCTTCTTCTTCTTTCCTCTTCTTCCCTTTTCTATCTTCTTCTTCCTTCTTCTTCCCCTTCCTCTTCCTTCTTCATCCATAACCCTTCCAACATCTATGCAGCCACTCACAATGGCTTCAGCCATTGTACCATTTCTAGTTGAGTGGCTGCATAGACTATGCAGCCACTATATGCTCTCCTACTGTTTATTGAGTGGCTGCATAGACTATGCAGCCACTATATGCTCTCCTACTGTTTATTGAGTGGCTGCATAGACTATGCAGCCACTATATGCTCTCCTACTGTTTATTGAGTGGCTGCATAGACTATGCAGCCACTATATGCTCTCCTACTGTTTATTCTTCTTCTTCTTCTTCTTCTTCTTCCACTTCCGCCAGATTTTGGCACTTTTCAACTCTTCAACGCTTTCACCAAATTCAACAAATTATACATTGTTACGACCGGCTTCACCGTCTCATTATTGCTATTACTTTTCACACTTCCACCTTTAGCACTTTTTCAGATATTTACACAAGTTCAAGCACTTTTTCCCATTGACTTACATTGGACCAGTACAACCGATTACTCCCCATACAACACATTACCACACTAACAATTCATTACCACAGATACAATACATTACAACATCTTACAACACTTACAGCACCTTACAACACTTACAGCACTTTACAACACATTCAGCACTTTACAACACCTTACAACACTTTTTGCACCTTACAACACATTCAACACCTTACAACACTTTTTGCACCTTAAAACACATTCAGCCCCTTACAACACATTCTTCTAATTTCATCCTCTTCACTTCTTCCCCTTCTTCCCCGTTCTTCCTCTTCTTCCCCTTCTTCCTCTTCTTCCCCTTCTTCCTCTTCTTCCCCTTCATCCTCTTCTTCCCCTTCTTCCTCTTCTTCCTCTTCTTCCCCTTCTTCCCCTTCTTCCTCTTCTTCCCCTTCTTCCTCTGCTGCTTCTTCTTCCCCTTCTTCCCCTTCTTCTTTCCTCTTCTTCCCTTTTCTATCTTCTTCTTCCTTCTTCTTCCCCTTCCTCTTCCTTCTTCATCCATAACCCTTCCAACATCTATGCAGCCACTCACAATGGCTTCAGCCATTGTACCATTTCTAGTTGAGTGGCTGCATAGTCTATGCAGCCACTATATGCTCTCCTACTGTTTATTGAGTGGCTGCATAGACTATGCAGCCACTATATGCTCTCCTACTGTTTATTGAGTGGCTGCATAGACTATGCAGCCACTATATGCTCTCCTACTGTTTATTGAGTGGCTGCATAGACTATGCAGCCACTATATGCTCTCCTACTGTTTATTCTTCTTCTTCTTCTTCTTCTTCTTCTTCCACTTCCGCCAGATTTTGGCACTTTTCAACTCTTCAACGCTTTCACCAAATTCAACAAATTATACATTGTTACGACCGGCTTCACCGTCTCATTATTGCTATTACTTTTCACACTTCCACCTTTAGCACTTTTTCAGATATTTACACAAGTTCAAGCACTTTTTCCCATACACTTACATTGGACCAGTACAACAGATTACTCCCCATACAACACATTACCACACTAACAATTCATCACCACAGATACAATACATTACAACATCTTACAACACTTACAGCACCTTACAACACATTTAGCACTTTACAACACATTCAACACCTTACAACACATTTAGCACTTTACAACAAATTCAACACATTTAGCACTTTACAACACATTCAACACCTTACAACACATTTAGCACTTTAACACAAATTCAACACCTTACAACACATTTAGCACTTTAACACAAATTCAACACCTTACAACACATTTAGCACTTTAACGCAAATTCAACACCTTACAACACATTTAGCACTTTACAACAAATTCAACACCTTACAACACATTTAGCACTTTACAACAAATTCAACACCTTACAACACATTTAGCACTTTACAACAAATTCAACACCTTACAACACATTTAGCACTTTACAACAAATTCAACACCTTACAACACATTTAGCACTTTAACACAAATTCAACACCTTACAACACATTTAGCACTTTACAACAAATTCAACACCTTACAACACATTTAGCACTTTACAACACATTCAACACCTTACAACACATTTAGCACCTTACAACAAATTCAACACCTTACAACACATTTAGCACTTTACAACAAATTCAACACCTTACAACACATTTAGCACTTTACAACACATTCAACACCTTACAACACATTTAGCACCTTACAACAAATTCAACACCTTACAACACATTTAGCACTTTACAACAAATTCAACACCTTACAACACATTTAGCACTTTACAACAAATTCAACACCTTACAACACATTTAGCACTTTAACACAAATTCAACATCTTACAACACATTTAGCACTTTACAACAAATTCAACACCTTACAACACATTTAGCACTTTACAACACATTCAACACCTTACAACACATTTAGCACCTTACAACAAATTCAACACTTTACAACACATTTAGCACTTTAACACAAATTCAAAATCTTACAACACATTTAGCACTTTACAACACATTCAACACCTTACAACACATTTAGCACTTTACAACACATTCAACACCTTACAACACATTAAGCACCTTACAACAAATTCAACACTTTACAACACATTTAGCACTTTACAACACATTCAACACCTTACAACACATTTAGCACCTTACAACAAATTCAACACTTTACAACACGTTCAACACTTTCAGCCCTTTACAACACATTCTTCTAATTTCATCTTCTTCACTTCTTCCCCTTCTTCCTCTTCTTCCTCTTCTTCCCCTTCTTCCCCTTCTTCCTCTTCTTACCCTTCATCCTCTTCTTCCCCTTCTTCCTCTTCTTCCCCTTCTTCCTCTTCTTCCCCTTCTTCCCCTTCTTCTTCTTTCCTCTTCTTCCCTTTTCTCTTCTTCTTCCTTCTTCTTCCCCTTCCTCTTCCTTCTTCATCCCTAACCCTTCCAACATCTATGCAGCCACTCACAATGGCTTCAGCCATTGTACCATTTCTAGTTGATTGACTGCGGAACCTTCCGCAGTCAACCATTGGTTTTGTATTTCTTTATTCCGTCATTTTTTTTGACACGTTTCACAGCTTTCACATTTTCAACAATTTCCACAAGTTATACATCAAAACGTTCCACATGTTTGGGAGATTATTGCTATTACTTTTGGGACTTCAGCGATTTCCGGTTTTTCCGCAATCGGACAAAAATCTGCATTGAGAATTCTGCAATGCATTTTAATAGGCCCATGCATTTTAATAGGACTTCAGCTCTTTCAGACATTTCTACAGTTTCAATGATTCAACAGTTTCAAGGATTCAACAGTTTCAAGGATTTCAGCAGTTTCAAGATTTCAAGAGTTTCAAGGACTTCAACAGTTTCAAGGACTTCAGCAGTTTCAAGGACTTCAGCAGTTTCAAGGACTTCAGCAGTTTCAAGGACTTCAGTGTAATCATGCAACCTAATAGGGATTTTTCCATGTAAACCAGTATAATGCAACTTAATAGGGATTTTTCCATGTAAACCAGTATAATGCAACTTAATAGGGTTTTTTCATGTAAACCAGTATAATGCAACTTAATAGGGTTTTTTTTCATGTAAACCAGTATAATGCAACTTAATGGGGATTTTTCCATGTAAACCAGTATAATGCAACTTAATAGGGTTTTTTCCATGTAAACCAGTATAATGCAACTTAATAGGGATTTTTCCATGTAAACCAGTATAATGCAACTTAATAGGGTTTTTTTCATGTAAACCAGTATAATGCCACTTAATAGGGTTTTTTTCATGTAAACCAGTATAATGCAACTTAATGGGGATTTTTCCATGTAAACCAGTATAATGCAACTTAATAGGGATTTTTTCATGTAAACCAGTATAATGCAACTTAATAGGGTTTTTTACATGTAAACCAGTATAATGCAACTTAATGGGGATTTTTCCATGTAAACCAGTATAATGCAACTTAATAGGGGTTTTTACATGTAAACCAGTATAATGGAACTTAATAGGGTTTTTTACATGTAAACCAGTATAATGGAACTTAATAGGGGTTTTTACATGTAAACCAGTATAATGGAACTTAATAGGGGTTTTTACATGTAAACCAGTATAATGCAACTTAATAGGGATTTTTACATGTAAACCAGTATAATGCAACTTAATAGGGATTTTTCCATGTAAACCAGTATAATGCAACTTAATAGGGTTTTTTACATGTAAACCAGTATAATGCAACTTAATGGGGATTTTTCCATGTAAACCAGTATAATGCAACTTAATAGGGGTTTTTACATGTAAACCAGTATAAAGGATAACAGTTTAAAGGATATCAGGAGCTTCAAATACTTCAGGAGTATTTTAACAGTTTCAAGGATTTCAAGGATTTTTCAGCTAAATTCCACATTAGATCTGTTCCGCAGTCAATCGCAATGGCTTCAGCCATTGCAACGGAAGGTCTGCGCGCTTGGTAACAACGATCGATCAGCGCGTGGCTCAGGACACTGGAGCTGTAACTATGTTGGGCGGGTTAAAAATGGCCGACTGTTATTGCTCCGTGCTCAGGAGATTTAATAAGGGTAATATGGCATCTGTGAATGGCCTGTTGTGATCCATATAAACACACGTCTGTGAGCCTTTGTTTGAGATGCTCAGGAAACTAAGTTTGGGAATACGCCGGCACTTCCGCCGTGTGTCAGGTTCATTACAGCACACTTTTAAAGGCTATTCTTTGCTCTCGGGCTTTATCTGGTTGTCCCAGGGTCATCTGTCTGGATTAGTGTGGCGTAAACAGAGGGGAAACAGCTTTCTGTCGGGTGACGGTGAAAAGAAGAAAGAGGAGAGGAGATTAAAGACAATGTTGTCGAACAGGAGAAGTCTTTAGACAATGCTCTCATGTTTGACTTAAGTGCAAACGGACGGGACTAGCCTGAAAAGCACCTTCTCTAGTTTTCAGCGAGGGGGTCTTGAAGACGAGATAGTCCTGGTGCGCGCCGGTGGGGTAGGAAGGTGCCTTTGATGCTAACAGAGTTGAGCTAGCGGCTTAGGGGGTAACAGAGCTTCTCCTATAATGCAGGTTTTGCTAGCGTGTGTGTGTTCAGGACCTTCACGGACTTTATTATCAACAGCCAGTATGTGTGCCAGGAGGTGCGCCTTACGTTTATTTTATTATTAAAAGGTATTTCCGCATCGGGCGGAACACACTCTGAAGCAGTTGCATAAAGTCAGGGAGCATGAAAAACTACATGTTAACAAGCTCTATGTCCCCACTGTAACACCTGGTTTAGTTCCTGCGTTTAAGTCCTGTTGTAGCTCTGTTTTGGCTGTTTACAAGTATTTCGTCTAATCGCTTAGACCGGCTAATGTCTCGCGTGGTACACTTTGCGGCTCTCTGAGTGGTTGCTGCCACGAGCGTCCCGAGAATGGTTCAGCAAAATTCATCTCATGCGTTCTCCCTTCGACTTCCAGCGCGGTCAGTGCGTGCATTCGAGACGCTTGGCGTTTTGAGGCTCAAAGCCATCACTATTGACTTTGCATTGAAAGCCAACGCAACGAATGATCCGGTCTGAACGCGGCATAAGGGCAGTAGTGTGATCCAGGACAACCACATTCAACAATATACAGTGGGGCCATAAAAGTATTTTGTCAGCCACCGATTGTGAAGTTCTCCCACTTCTAAAATTTGACAGAGTGGTCTGTAATTTTCATCATAGGTACACTTCAAGCTGAGAGAAACAGGTATGTGAAAAAAAAAAATCCAGAAATTCACATTGTAGAATTTTTAATGATTTTATTTGTAAATTATGGAGGAAAATAAGTATTTGGTCACTTCAAACAGGGAAGTCTCTGGCTCGCACAGACTGTAAACTTCTTCTTTAAGAAGCTCTCTTCTGTCCTCCACTGTACCCTGTATTAATGGACTTTTTAAGTCGAACCGGGTGGCGCCCTAGGGGAGTTAACTCGTTATATGTATGAAAGATAGCCCAAATGTAAACCAAACGATATTTCCTTACCGCTGATAATTCTCCCTCGATCTGGGGCTCACGCAAGATTCCTCCCGTGGGGTCAAAATGATTATGAGAACGGTGAATCAAAAATCCCAGAACCACACGGGGGGACTGGTGAGCATGACCTGCAGAGAGTGGGGACCATCAGTAACACACTACGACGAAGGGAATCAAATCCTGCAGTGCAGACGTGGTCCCCCTGCTTGAAGCAGTGAATTTTCAGGCCCGTCTGAAGTTGCCAGAGAGCACATGGATGATACAGCTGAGGATTGGAGAATGTCATGTGGTCAGATGAATCCAAAGTGAACATGTTTGGTATAAACTCCAATCGTCCGTGATTGGAGAAAAGGTTGCATCCCAGAGAAACACCATACCTACTGTGAAGCATGGGGTGGACACGGTCTGCTTTGGGGCTGTCTTTTCTGCTAAGGGGACAGGACGATTTTCTGATCAGTGTTAAGGAAAGAAGGAATGGGGCCATGTAGCGTTAGATTTTGGAGCAAAAACTCCTTCCATTGCTGTTGATATGTTCTGTTATTGGCAAATACTTATTTTCCACCATAATTTACAAATAAATTCTTTAAAAATCCTACAAATTGTGGAATTCCGGATTTTTTTTCACATTCTGTCTCTCACAGTTGAGTGTACTATGATGACAAAATTACAGACCACTGTCATTACTTTTAATTTGGGAGAACTTGCACAATCGGTGGCGAACTAATTACTTTTTTGCCCCACTGTATATTGTTGAATGTGGAGGTCTGGATCATCACTACATTGCCCTTATGACGCTTTCAGAGGATATTCGTTGCTTTGGCTTTCAATGCAAGTCAATAGTGATGGGCGTTTGAGCTCTCAAAACGCAAATGCGTCTCGTCAATGCACGGCACATGACCGCGCTGGGAAGTCAGGGGAGGAACGCATGAGATTGATTTTGCTGAACCTTTCTCGGGACGCTCGTGCAGAACAATCAGAGAGCCGCAAAGTGGTCACGGAGACATTAGCGGTCTTAAGGAGTAGACTGAAAATACTTGTAATCAGCCAAAACAGGAGCTACACCAGGACTAAACCCCATTCAACAACGCAACAGGGACTAAACAGGTGTTGACAGTGGGGGACATAGTGCTTGTTAACATGTGCGTTTTCAATGCTCCCGTGACTTTATGCAACTGCGTCGCGTTGTCGCGATGCGGAAATCCTTTTTAATAATAAAATAACGTTGGGCACCTCCGTGAACACATCTGCTGTTATATAAAGTCCGTGGAGGTCACCTGAACACACCACACGCTGCAAAGCTGCATTATTGAGAGACTCTTTTACACAATAAGCCGCTAGCTAAACTCCTGTTAGCATCAAAGGCTAACTTCTTCCACTCCCGGCGCGCACCAGATTTCTAGTCTGAGATGGACCCCTGCGTCTGTAAAACTAGAGAATGTGCGTTTCAGCGTTAGTCTCTCCTGTTTGCACTTAAGTCAAACATGAGAGCATTGTCTAAAGACTTCTCTGTTCAGACAACATTGTCTTTAATCACTCTTCTCTTTCTTCTTTCACCGTCACCGCATGAAAAGGTGTTTCTCTGTTTACCCGCACACTAAATCAGACAGATGCACCGGGGACAATCCAGATTAAGCAAAAAAATTAATTCTTCAAAAGATATACATATAAACTGGTTTATTTTGAGGTGAAATTACAACAAATGGATCAAGCAACTATTAGTGAGAGTAGTTGCATCCGCAACATTGGCTTTTCTTGAGGCAAGATGGAGCGTCAACACTTTGGCTCTATCCTCGTCAAAATATTGCAAAAGGACATTTAAAATTCTGTCCACATTTTTGTTTGTGGACTCGTTAATGTTTAAAGAAAAAAGTTTCCCTATCAATTTCGTGGCTAGTTCTTCTTTGTAACATTCTGCCATGCCATATGTCCAGAAGTATGAAGCATCTCAACCTTGACAGGGCATTTTGATCAACCGCAAATGATTTAATTAAATCTACCAGCGGTAGTGATATTCTGAACAACAGGTCATTTTCTGGGATAAAGCCACAGACTCTTAGTTTTAGGTCATAGGCAGGGTGTAGCACCAGGTAAAGATGAAGTGTGAGAAAGTGCACGAACAGCTGCCTTGTGCCCAGTTTCGAACTTGTGGCGAATTAAAACCGTTTTCCCATTACTCCAGTAAAAAAAAAGTATGGAAAACTACGCAAATACAAGCACCGGCCACCTTTTTGCGCCATGACCGCAACGGAATCCCATAGTCTCCCACCTCATCAAGCCATGGCCACCTCCATTTATTTTTCACTCGGTTATCAATTGCAACTTGTGCTCCTTCTTTCATAAACAACGAATCCATGGTTGTGATTGTGCGTGAATGCTAGGCTAGCGTTGATAAATTAATGTAAGACGTGCTAAACACACTAGAGCACACCTTTCTTCTGCAAGTTTCTTTCGTTCGCTCTTGTTGATCACGCTGAGTTTTGCATGCGGATCGCAACCAAGACATTATCAAAAGCTCACCAAGACATGTTTGTCCCCATTCCCAGGCCCAGCAAAGTCCGTTTTGTATACTCCGTTAAAAAAATAGCATTGCGTTTGGTTAACATTAATTAATTATGGCCTACCTTTCGTCTATAACGCACCCAGCTTGTATTGGTCCGCGGGGCTGCTGGCTGTTATTGCTTCGTTCAGGATTCAATTTTCCTTCTCCTCTTCTTTTCAAAAGCTCTATGCAGTTGCCAGAAACTTTCATCTCTGTTTTGCCATTGCTAATTTGGCAGCGTCTTCATTTGAGCGTGAGGTCAGCATCCCATTGCCTTGATTCATTTGCCAAGCGCTCATGTAGCAATGGCTACGGGAAAATTCAAGACCCACTTGTGATTATAATACTTTTTTATATATATATATATATATATATATATATATATATACACATATAAACACAATTATATTAATATTTTATAGCATAAAATATAACAAACAAATATATATTTGCATTTGTTATATATAACAAATACACACGTATATGTATTAATGATTATTTTTATAATTAACCATTTCATTGTGTTATAATTTATTTTTATTTTTTTTCAGACCAATTTTATTTGACAGAAATCAGTCACCCCGACGGAACTTTTTAAGCCCTGTAATATTCCTGAAGAAAAAACATTGCCTTAAATATTCCTTCTTAATCGGTTTAGAAATGCAGCATATACAGTAATGCTGTATTTCATTGCATTTTTTTAATGTATCAGAATCAGAATCCTTGTCATTGCCATGTGAGTAACAGGAAGTCACAAACTAAGAAATTGCTTTGGCTCTCAGTGCAAAATGTATCTCGATGCTCTGCAATGTATACTTGTGGTTCCCAACCTTTTTGTCTTGAGTACCCCGAGGACATTTTATTTATACTTCTAGTACCTTGATGGTTTTGAAAGATTATTTAAAAAGTTAATAACTAGTCCTATTAATTTATCACTGAAATTTAATCACTGCCGATATCGGTGTTTCATAATTTTACTGATCGGTAGAGGTGCAACGGTTCATCAATGATCCGTGATCCGTTCGATTCAACGTCTTCGGTTCGGTACAGACGTGATCCGCGGTTTGATTTATGAAAAAAAAGTTGTGCGCACGTTGTTCAGTCCACACACAGCGTGGTCACAGCGAGCAGAGGAACGGAGGAGCTTGAAAGCCCCGCGTCATTTAAATCCCCTGTATGAGAGCATTTTGGCTTCACTGTAACTATACTGATAATTAATATTCGACAAAACTGTTACAGTGTGTAAATACTGTGGCAAAAGAAAGACATGAGTGAAAAAAAGTGTCTCAACGACCGCTTATTGCCGCGGCATTTAAGCAGCTCCTTTACGCACAGTCAGACCGGGCTAAAGTCAACTCTCCCGCGCATCCTCAGCTGCGCTCACAACTGACGCTTGGACGTCCCGCGGAATCTATAATAGATCCATGAGCGGAACGGAGAACTTCATCACAACAGACTGGGAGATGAAAAGTCTGCCGCTGCAGACACGCCCCCTCTACGAAAGTCACACAGTCACACAGCGCAGGTTCTGACACAAGCAGCGGAGGAATGGAAGACAAAGGCCCAGTACTAATATTCCAGTCACAATTGATAATGCCAAAAATTAAATAAATGCAGTGAATGAGGCTGGACTGGGCCCAGAATGGACCGCCTCCTTGGGAGAATCAGGAAGGTGGTTTAATATATGAGGGTAAATACCCTCATAAAGTGCCTTCTTATGTTGCACTTTGTGTTGTTTTTCACTGATTATGTTAAAAAGACATAATTGGATGGATGGATGGAATATGCCTTCCATACATCCATCCATTTTCTTCCCCTTAATTCATTTCCAGGTCAGGGGGGGGGGCAGTCAGAGCAGGTGCGGAGTCCACATGAGCCGTGTTTATTAAAAAGACAAAACTTTTTTTTGAAAAATAAACCGAAAAATGAACCGAACCGTGGCCTCTGAACCGAGGTACGAACCGTACCGTGATTTTTTCAAACCGTTGCACCCCTACTGATCGGCCAAAAAAGTCCTAATCGGTGCACCTCTAATCCTGCACACACTATATTTTTACCTTAACATGTTGAAAAACCTCTGTCTTTTTGCACGATCTGAGTGATTCCGTCTATGCCAAATGTGACATGTAAATTTCTCCATTGTGAGATCAATAAAGTCAATCATATCCTATTCTTTGTTTATCGCTGTTATAATGTCTACAGTAACAGCGAGTGCACCATAGATTGTGTTTGGACACATCTGTGTCTTTTTCATGCTAAACCACGGCTTGAAAAAATAAGGTGAGCCACGGCCACACAGTGACCCGTCAAGCCGGGTCACTGTGTGGCCGTGAACCCAGGGTTTGGCTTAATCTAAATGCACCAAAAAAAACCTCCTTCCTGACAAATTCAGTGCCTCACCAATCACCAACATCACCGCACGCCGCTGGTTTATACGTACATGGTTCAGATATGGATTAGTCCTGGTACAAACTTTGATTAGACTTGGATTAGACCTGGTTCAGTCCTTGTTCAGACCTGGTTCAGAATAGTACAAAATACAAGTCCAGGACGCCTCTGACATTTGAATAGCAAATGGCTGAAGAAGATTTGGAAAGCAGATCCAGTTTGGACTTAAAGCAGTGGTACATAAGATTATCCAACCAAAAAAGTATTGTAAAATAAAAAGTTGTGAACAAATCAGACAACAACATGCCGTCTTCATCTTATCCAAAAACACTTCATCTTTTGTGTAAGAAAGAGCCCTAAGAGTCACTCTTTGAGCTGAATGAGGGTGACCCTGTCTTTGTCACTTTTTGGTCTGAAAAAGCTGATCTCAAATAGATTAATTGGAAAACTATTAATAGAATCAAACTGTTTTAGAGGCAGAAACTAATTACATGGATTTGATTCCATTGTTGAGTGAGGTACCCCCTAAGTTGTCCAAGTTAGGTACCCCCGCTGTAAAGAAGGAATATCTCTGATACGCTTTTCCACAGTAACGATACGGTATGGTACGGTACGGTATGGTAGGGCACAGTGTGGTTATTTTGCATTTCCACTCGGGTTGGGCTTGGGATAAGCAGAGAAGATCTGTGGAGCCCCTCTCCCCACCATTAACGACATGTACTCCACCCGTCTCACCCGCAAAGCCATCAGAATCACCAGGGACCCTACGCACCCATCACACAGGCTCTTCAGGGTAATGCCTTCAGGGAGGAGACTGCAGAATTTACGGAACAGTTCCAGTCGACTTAAAAACAGTTTCATTCACAAGGCCATCAGGAAGCTGAACTCCCTGCCCTCCCTCCCACCCCTCTTCCCCCACCCCCCTCTACCTGATAAACTAGAACATGGACAGAAGCTGAAGACAGGACATTTTAGCTTTGATGAACTTAATAGGACAGTTACTCACTTGACTCCAGGAATGTCCAGCATGTTTGTGAGTCCTGTCCAGTTTATGTCTAGCCACTGAAATACATAAGAACACATAATTATTAATTGTGAAAAGCCAACATGGGTCTAAACAGCAAGCTATTCTGTCGTCGGGTCTCGCCTCTCCCTCCCTCTCTCACACGTTTTGACTTGTTTTAGCTGAATAGTTCTGCACCACAGAGACAGAGAGACAGACAGAGACAGAGAGACTTTATTGGTCCTCGTAGGAGAAATTCAGGGGTCCAGTAGTAGCAAAAACAAAAAATTAAATTGATCATTCTATTTTATTTCCTGTATAATGGGCAGCACTATGACGGGATCAGTGATGTTGCCCGGCATGGCGCAGCCGGGGCCCCACCCTGGAGCCAGGCCTGGGGTCGGGGCTCAGCCTGAAAGCCCCTGTGGACCCAACACCCACAGAGGGATCCGTGGTGGCATGGTGCAGAGAGGACTGGGCAGGAGAGGTGGGTGCCTCCAGGTGGGGGACAAGTCACTCACTGTTTTGACGGCCTACGGGCCTAATAGTGCAGAGTACCCATCCTTCTTGGAGTCCCTGGGAGGGGTACTGGACAGGGCACCGAACAGAGACTCCGTCATTCTCCTGGGGGACTTCAACACCCATGTGGGAAATGCCAGTGACACTTGGAGAGGGGTGATCTGGCAGACCCAAGCGTGTAGTGAGGGTCTGCTGGGAACGTCTAGCTAAGCCCCCTGTTAGACAGACTTCTCCTAGTTTAGTTTAGTTAAAAGTGACCATGTACAATTAGAAAATAAATGTTTCCATTTGATGCATTGTACCAGAGTTAGCCTGAGATTAAGGGTGTATTCAGACCTGCACATTTGCTCCACTTTAAACGAACCAGGATTCGTTTGGAACTCTGATCCGAATCTTTTATGCAGGTCTGAATACACACAAACGAATCCTGGTCCGGACCAAAGAACCGAACCGAGACCCACTTTTTGAGGTGGTCTCGGTCCGCTTCCAAACGAATTCTGGTCCAAGTCGAATCAGGTCTGAATACATCCGGTGTCGATCCGACACAACTCCAAGATACGTGCGCATTTTTTGGGCTTCACAAGCCGCAGACAGAAACTGAGGAATTAGCCACGCAGCGGCTAACTATGCTGCTAACTATGCTGCTAACTCTGCTGCTAACGCTACACAACAACAATGAGCCGTGTGCAGACCTGGAGCAGTGAGGAGACGCTGTGCAACAGGCTTATGGAGTTAGAACTGTTCACAGTATACAGTGATGTTAATGGCAGCATCTTCAAATCATTTGCATTATTAAAAGCCTGACACTGTTTGACGCACGTCTCAAAGAGCAATATTCCGCATCATGTAGTGAATTGTGTTCTTTGGTTCCTACCTGATCCTCAGCGTCTGTTTGTCCCGTGGTTATTATAGATCCATGGTTTATCCACGATGCTGCTGTCAGTAAGTTGTGGAACAGGGTTATTATCATAGATCCATGTGTGGGACAGGACACGGAGCGCACAGACAGTCTCCTTCGGCTTTCTCCTCACGCATTCTCCGACGCTGTTCCAATATTTAAAACAACGTGTTTGGCCTGTGTCATATGAGCTGCTGTTGATGTTGAAGGTGGTTTTGCTCTAAAAAGAGCAAACATAGGCAGAGCAGACATGCTGCACATACAAGCCCTCAATTTTCCACTGGTTCCGCGTCTATCCTCCGTGAGCTCTCGCTGACCAATAGGAGCGCCGATCGTCACACGTGTCAATATGTTTATATAAAAAAGTTCACTTGCAAAAAGGACAGTCTGAATACAAACCGGAGCAAAAGAAAAAAGTTTGGTCCGCTTTTGATTCGGATCAAGCAAGCGGAGCAAAGGACTTTTCAGGTCTGAATACACCCTAATTTACATCTGCAGTCCCTGGCAGGGGGGCAGACAACCCAGAACAAGAACAAGACAAAATACAAAAGACACAGGGTTGACCAAGACAAGCAAACCACAAACAACAGATCTGAATAAAAACCCTACATCCTCCCCACATATAATCAAGACGAGACACATCAACATCACCAAAACAAACAAACAAAGTCAGTAACATCCGGAGAGTGAGACCAGAGAGCCACATTGGTGCTAATGTGTGCATTTTTGGCTGCTTTTTAGGTGTTTTTTGAGTTCCGTTTTGAAGCCCTTGATGGTCGTGCAAGTCTTTATTGTGTCCGCTAGTTTGTTCCACAGAGTAGTGGCCTTCACTGCAAAAGCTGATTGACCAAAAGTGGAGTGACGGAAAGGTACTTTCAACGCAAACCTCCGGGAGAGCTTCTCCCAGGTCCCGGCGGAGGAGGGGGACATTGAGTCTTAGTGGACCATGTTCTCCTCCTCTATCGCCGATGTGGCAGCTCGTAGCTGTGGTCGCAAGGTCTCTTGCCCATATTCATAACACTGGCTCCCTGTTTCACACAGAATACATTTTTTAATTCTGGTGCTGACTTTCAAGGTACTTCTTGGTCAGGCACCTGAATACATCCAGGGCCTGATCCCCCCTTATGTCTCCAACAGGAGCCTGAGGTCCTCTACTCAGGCCCTGTTGATGGTTCCCTGCACTCATTTTAAACCCAGAGGAGACAGATCCTTCCAGGCAGTTGCTCCTCACCTTTGGAACGAGCTTCCCCAGTCTCTGCGCATGTTAGAGTCTGTTGATGATTTCGAGTCCCAACTTAAGACTTATTTGTTTAGACAGGCTTTCTAAGTAAGTAAGTAATCTTTATTTATATACCGCCTTTCACAGACCAGAGTCATAAAGCGGTTTACAATAGTTATTTTTTGGGCAATTGTCCTCTCACTTCACCCAGAGATGGGAGCGGGATTGCCAGTACAGGAGGCGCATGCCAGACCTATTGTACATGTTTTTAGTGGTAGGGGAAAACCGGAGCACCCTGAGGAAACCTACGCAGACACGGTGGGAATATGCAAACTCCACACCTCCGAAATCCGAGGCCATGTTGCTCGACCGGAAAAAGGTGCCCTGCCCTCTCCGGGTGGGTGGAGAGATCCTTCCTCAAGTGGAGGAGTTCAAGTATCTCGGGGTCTTGCTCACAAGTGAGGGAAGGATGGAGCGTGAGATTGACAGGCGGATCGGTGCAGCGTGCGCAGTGATGCGGTCGTTTTACCGGACCGTTGTGGTGAAGAAGGAGCTGAGCCGAAAGGCAAAGCTCTTGATTTACCGGTCAATTGTCTTTCCTTCCCTCACCTATGGTCATCGGCTTTGGGAGATCGCGGGTACAAGCGGTCGAAATGAGCTTCCTCCGCAGAGTGGCCGGGCGCTCCCTTAGAGATAGGGTGAGGAGCTCAGTCACACGGGAGGAGCTCGGAGTAGAGCCGCTGCTTCTCCACATAGAGAGGAACCAGTTGAGGTGGCTCGGGCATCTGTTCAGGATGCCTCCTGACGCCTCCCTGGGGAGGTGTTCCGGGCACGTCCCACCGAGAGGAGGCCCCAGGGAAGACCCAGGACACACTGTAGGGACTATGTCTCTCAAGCTGGCCTGGGAACGTCTTGGGGTCCCCCCGGACGAGCTGGAGGAAGTGTGTGTGGATAGGGATGTCTGGGCGTCTCTGCTTAGACTGCTGCCCCCGCGACCTGGCAACGGATGAAGTTGAAAATGTAATGTAATGTAATGTAATGTATATATATAAAAAAATATAAAAAAACTTTGAGAGGATCTGAATATACAGTGGGGCAAAAAAGTAGTCAGCCAACAATTGTGCAAGTTCTCCCACTTAATGACAGAGGTCTGTAATTTTCATCATAGGTACACTTCAACTGAGAGACAGAATGTGAAAAAAAAATCAATTCAACTCAATACTTTGTAATATAACCTTTGCTGGCAATAAAAGAGGTCAAACAATTACTATAGGTCTTTACCAGGTTTTCACACACAGTAGCTGGTATTTTGGCCCATTCCTCCATGCAGAACTTCGAGAGCAGTGATGTTTTGGGGATGTCGCTGAGCAACACAGACTTTCAACTCCCTCCACAGATTTTCAGTGGGGTTGAGGTCTGGAGACTGGCTAGGCCACTCCAGGACTTTCAAATGCTTCTTATGGAGCCACTCCTTCGTTGCCCGGGCGGTGTGTTTGGGATCATTGTCATGCTGGAAGACCCAGCCACGTTTCATCTTCAAAGCTCTCACTGATGGAAGGAGGTTTTGGCTCAAAATCTCACGATACATGGCCCCATTCATTCTTTCCTTAAAGCCTAGTGTATACTTGCGCGGCGTGGCTTACGTTAGCGGTTGCGGTGGACCTACGTAAGCACAATTGATGTTATACTGGCGCGTTCCCCTTACGGAGTTTTGAGGAGAATGTTGTAATCCCACAACAAACCACATGAGGGCGATCACACAGGAGCGGTCCCATTTACGCTGCTACTTTGTCCTCTTCAGAACAACAATAGCAAACAAAGCTGTTTGAGCTAATTACACGTGTTTCTACTGCAGGTTTATGTGATAGTTTTATGGATTCATTATTTTATAAGTCATTTGAACTGTGATGCTGTGAATAAAGACACAGTTCTTGTTGGAAACATAGTTAAATTAAATTTAATTTAATAGTTTTCAGCAAAACAATAATAGTGGTAAATATCTGAGACAAACATGAACGATTTACGAGTGCAGGAGGAAAGCAACAAATGCAGCTACGATTCAAACAAGACAGGAACAGTGCAAAACAAACGACTGCACAGTTTATAAGTTATATATATGTTAGATATAGGTTATATATATGTTAGATAGTCCACAGTCTCCTGTATATCAGGCTCTGAGCCCAAACTGCTTTTCCTTCGAAGCACAAAGCTCTCTGCTCCATAGTGCCTCGTCCATGTCCCTGCTGCAGCCGCTCCGTGCTTCCTTCCTATACACACACATGGACCAATCACAGCGGAGCTTACTTGCGGCGACCCTTACGTAGTTAGAAAATTTCGATGCTGCGCGGCAGGCGACGTAAGGGCCTTGCGGTGACCAACGCATTGCGCAAGTGACGTCACGTCACCTCCGTAAGCTCCGCGCC